TGTTTGTTCACAATTGTAGCATGTTCTTGGCCTGGCATCTAAAGCCTGTTTTACTGCAGCTGCCACAATTTGCCCTTGTTCATTAATGTCTCTGGCATCTAAAGCCTGTTTTACTGCAGCTGCCACGACTTGCTCTTGTTCATTAATGTCTCTACATAATTTAATATATGTGTTTAAATCTTCATGTTTCCATGGTCTAATGATATCTCTGCACCAACGATTCGCTTGCTCATAAGCCAGGTGTTTTAGTAATGGCATTGCTTGTTCTGTATTCCCAAAAACTCTGGTAGCTGTTTGAATAAGCCTATCTACAAATTCAGCATAAGGTTCATTAGCTCCTTGTATTACCTTAGATAATTGACCTTGTAAACCTCCATGTCCTTGTAAAGTCTTCCATGCCTTAATTGCATCTGCAGCAATTTGTGCGTATACGCCAGGATCATATGCAATTTGTTGCTGCTGATCCTCATAAGGTCCCTTTCCTAACAACATATCTAGATTTCTCTGAGGATAACCAGCTGCTGCATTTCGCCTAGCCGTCTCCTTGCAAAATTCCTCATTGGCAACCTTCCATAACAGGTATTGTCCTCCATTTAGCACAGCTTTACACATATTAGCCCAATCTGCTGGCGTCATGTTCAAGTTGTTAATGGATTCGACCATGCTTACAGTGAAGGGTGCTTGAGGACCATAGGTTGTTACAGCCTCTTTTAGCTGCTTCACTGTTTTGAAATTTAAAACTTGGTAAAATCGCTGCCCTCCTGCCTCAAATACAGGGCATGTTAATATTTGAGACCTTGTCTCAGGATCCCAACTATCAACTGCGGGGGTTGGGGGCCTCCCAGCATATGGAGGTGGCGCTGTTAGTTGGACACTTATGCCCTCTGGTGATAGAAAGGTGTTAGTAGCAGTCTCCTGTAGAGGTGGTGCTGTTGGTTGGACACTTACACCCTCTGGTGATAGAAAGGTGTTAGTAGCAGTCTCCTGTTGTAACTTTCCCCCTGATGGCTTTTTCTGTTTTACACTTTCTTTCTCTGTCTGACTAGCTTGAGAGGCCTTCTCTTTTACTTGAATCTTTTCCTCTGTCTGACTAACTTGAGAGACCTTCTCTTTTACTTGAATCATTATGTCTTCTCCTTCCTCTACCATTGTCTGAACTGAAGGCTTTGGACTAAGCAAACAAGATATGAACGTCCACAATGGCAATGTGCCAACTGGCAGAGTCCCTGGGCTTTTCTTTTCTATTCTTTTTAAATCTTCACCATGATGGTTCCATTGTGATATATTTAACAACTCCTCCTTAAAAAGCCATGGGCTACATTTTTGTATTGTATCAGCGTATGCCCTGATTGTTCTTGATTTTACTGAGATGCCTCCTTCCTCTAACAATTTACTTAACACTCTTTCAGTTTGTTTTTTACTAATTTCTGATCCCGTATTTCTACTATAATACAACCCAACAAGATAACGCCTAACAAAACTGAAACTGAGTGAAACAAAATTGGAACAACACAAAATCATTATAATAGCCTCCTGAAATGTCCATCCGTCCTTTCTCCCTATCTGTTCCTCAGATGTGAGCGGTTTTTCTTCCATCTTACACATCTCCAGGGACAGGCAACTTAAAACAAAAGTGAAACAAAATAACAAAAGAAGAATCTTAAAATGGCTACCCATCCTCTCGCCCTGCCCTCAGGGGCGAGCAGTTCACTTACCCTCAGTCGCTCCCCGTGCGAGCCACCAAAATGCCGCAGTCTGGCTGGGCACAATCAGGAGCCACTTGTCAAAAGAAACTAACTTTATTTTTAGAACCACACACGACAAACAAAATAGTCTCTCAGGAAAAACCCTCAGAGCCTCAACTGCCACCACCGGCTTTCCCCAAGCCTCTCTCTCCCCCACAAGCTTCTCCCCCCCTCCCACAATCCTCCTGCTCTTGAGGCCGATTGGCTGGGTCACGTGGGCGGAGCCAAAAAAGTCCCCCAATGAGCAGCTCCGTGGTCTGAAAGGGCAGGGAAACAGTCCAATGAGCATCACCGCAGAGGAGCCAATCAGCTAGATGTTGCTGGGGCCGAGGAGCCAATCAGCTAGATGTTGCTGGGGCCGCTGTGAGCCAATCATCAGCCAGCAGCTGGAAGTTTGCTGGCAGCTGGAAGTTTGCTGGGGCCCCTTTGGCTGTGGCTGTCAACAGGGATATGCTGATTTGACTCTGCATATCTGCCAGCATTTTAGTTCGACAGCATTTGATGTATAAAACAGTATCTATTTAAATTGCTAGGGTTTTCATATTCACTGTTGCTGTAGGATTTTTTTTCAGAGCATCAAATTTTTTCCAAGGGTATAATGATACTGTATGTGTATCTTTGATAGGTCCAGACCTTTTTTTATTTTGTACTTCATGCCTTTACTTTGAAAATGTAGTTTTTTTTTCGAGGCTCTTGAAACATTTTAGTAATTGTCTAATGACTGAGAGAATTATCATTTATATAATGATCATAGTATCTAACAAATTTGCATGTGATTTCCGGTGATGACACAGGTGTGAGCAAATCTTAGAGGAATTAACTTTTCCATTAAGCTATAATGAAAAGAATCAAGCCCTTATTTATCTATCGTGTCTATCACAGTTGTTTCCATTAGTATTTTAGTACTTTGAAAATCAGTACAAAGTAAAGCAGTAATTTATGGTTGTTTTTTCAATAGATTAGTAAATAAAGTAAATTAACAAAATTTTCACCAAAGATACATTGAAAGTGGAAACGAATATATCTTTTTTGAATGAGAATTTATTGCTGTATTGTTCCAAAAGTTGTCCACATTCAAGTTTTAGAAACAAGGTCTTTGGGAAATCTTCATTATGTCTTTGATTAGTTTTGTCATGCCTTTTCTGAAAGGATTCTTCTCTGTTAATCCCTGGTTATACTTCTGTGTTTGTTCTCATCTATCCCTTTTTTCATTATTTCTCAAACATTTCTTTATTCAGGCCCTTAAAAACTCAGACCTGGGCTTCCCATTCCCTATTACTTCCCACCATCCAGGTAGCACAGAAGTTTACCTCTAGGGTATGCTTGACAGATTCTTTCAATGACTTCCTATTTATCACAAAGTAACACCCTCAAAATAATAAATCATAAATCAAAACCAATTTTCCAGTGAAGTTCTTTTATTTTGCCAGTGACAATATTGAACTCCAGAGAAGTAAAATACCTTTTCCCAAAAGTTGAATGGATACTGAAAGGAACAACTGGTACTAATTCATGTCTTAAAAATGTTCACTCTGTTTCTTCAGAGATGATAGTCTATGATTTTTTTTCTTATCCATTAGCTTTTGAGCCTTATCCAATTTTATACTGTTGAATTAACACACAAAAAAAATCAGCTTTTCAAATCATGTTCATACAGACCAGAAATCATAACCAGTATCAAGCTTTATTATTGATGTCAAGGATATAAGCAGCTGAGAGTAATACAGGCCAAGCAGGGAGAAGATTTGGAATCACAAATGATTCTCTGTATCTATTTTTCCTATCTCAGACACAAGATCTCTGATCAGTAATCATAGAATAATAGATAATGCGGCAGATAAAATTGCTTATCATCCTGTGTTGAAGAGGAGCATTTAGATTATGAAATAACTCCAACATGTTAATTCCGCAGATGTTTAATGGTCATATGGCATTTTCCAGGATCCATGGATCATAAGCCCACAGGTTGTAGGTTTGTCGCTATTACTATCCTAGAGGACATTCTGCTGTGAGCATTGTTTCAGTAGAAGAGGATTGTTTCAGTAGCAGATATTTTGTCTTTTACCAAGAGCCACTTATCAAGGTGGTTTCAAGGAGATCAGCCTACACTACCTGTCTTTCCTCTGAGGTACTATTAGAGGCCCACCACTTTAATATTTTTCATCTTGCCCTTTTCTATTCATGTACCTTGAATCCCAAACTGAAAAATTTACTCTTCTTGTATGTGTTCTGACTGCTTCACATGTCTGCATCTCTTTTTGGTCAAACCTTAGGCATGCTTCTAAGATTGTCATTCACGTATTCCTTTTAGCTGAATGTATATAGTTTCCCTCTGAAACTATATAAGCATCTATTTCTCCATGTACTATAATGTATTTTGTTTCCTACTCAAGAATAAACTACCTAAGATCTTTATTTTTCTCCAGTTTTCCATTGTATTTGTACTACATGCCAGTGTCAAAGATAAATGAGACATAATCCCAGGACTTTAAACATTCCTTCCCCTCAACTCAGCATGCTGCCCTCTATGTAGAAGGCTTTTGATAAATATTTTAGGCAGGGAAGGGAAAAAAAATCAAGGATTACAGCAGTAATAATTTTGAAATGTTAAATTGGACATTATTCTTTGGACAAATTCAGTAAACTATTGAACCTTTGACCCTATTAGAATATTCTGCCTATGTATTGAGAGTATACTTAAAAATAGAAAAATATGATATAGGTATAAAAAGAGTAAATTGTCACCCACATACTAACAGGTTATTTGATTCTTGTATATTTTTTCCTGGTTAGGTTTAACAGCTAGCAGCTCACAATTTGTGGATCATATTTAAAGACCTTAAGCCTTGTGAATATCACGGGGTTTTGTTTAAAGATATAATTGTTTTTATTAATTTTTTTTTTCTTTTTTGCCATGCTAGGGCCTTCATGTATTAGGCAAGCAATCTACCACTATGCTATGTCACCAGCCCTAAAGATAAGATTTTTTAGAAAATCAGAGTAGAACTATTTCATTATAGGATAATTTTTCTAGATATGAACATTATTCTAAATTTAGTGGTTTAGAAATGTGTTAATCAGTATACTTCACTGACATTTCAAAATGACTTTTGTCTTTCATTGGTTGACCTAAATTTGCCTTCTGTAATGTAAAAAATATGTACACATAGTTGGACTATCTTCTAAAAATGTGAAACTGATCTGAAATCTGTTTGAAAGTAACAGCTTTGTTTTATTCCCCCTCCCTCCACCAAGTCAACGACACACTTGATGACATCTTTGATGGCTCTGATGATGAAGAAGAAAGCCAGGATATTGTGAATCAAGTTCTTGATGAAATTGGAATTGAAATCTCTGGAAAGGTATGAACATCTTCTTTTCTTAGATGAAAATAGTTTTGGCCACTTTTGTTCATTGTTTTAGGTTGTCCATTAGTGTTAACATGTTTTTATATTTGCTTCAAAAGTAAATTACTTTGCAGCTTATCCTTATGTTCTTACCCAAGAGTTTGCAAATGAACATTTTTTTTTTTCTCTTTTTGTTTCTTTATTATAGATGGCCAAAGCTCCATCAGCTGCCCGAAGTTTACCATCTGCCTCTACTTCAAAGGCTACAATCTCCGATGAAGAGATTGAACGGCAACTCAAAGCCTTAGGAGTAGATTAATTAAAAAGTCATGATATTTTTGTGTACTGATTTAGTATAAAGCAAGCACAGTGCAGATTCCTTTTACAAAAACACATTTATTTTGCAAAAATGAAAACCATGAGTGAACAGTTGTTTCCTAACCCATGGCCATTTTGAGTCTTGCCAAAGAATAACAATGATGCAAAAATGGAAACAGTTTGAATTTTAATTAGAACTATTTAGGAGTGATGATATGTAAAACTGGATTTCTTTTCTGCATGGCATAGAGAAATTATAACTATTACTTAGTGTCTGTTTATGTTCTAAATCTTTTTACACTGAATACAAAATTCTTGTTAAATGCCACTAGGCACCAACTTAAGGAAAGAGACTTGTAAAAATATTAAAAGTATGTCGTTAATTCTGTATTTGTTGCTTGTCCTTTGTAAATGATTATGTGTTATGACCATAGGCAGTTCATCTGCCAAATTATTTTTAAATGATCAAAAAGAACAGTGCTGTTTCAACATCTGTCTTAAAACTGCCATGAGGTTTTCCTTTTTTTTTTTTTTTCCTTTGGGAGAACATTCTAGTTGGTAAGTTTATTACCTTTCAAAATGTGCTTGGGACCTGCCTTAAACAGTACAAACATATTGTGCTCATCTTTAAATTATTTTACCTGGCAGAAAAGAATTTCATTTTAAACTAAAAATTGAGGCCTCTTGTAACAGTTTTGCAGGCTCTCTTCTAAACCTTATGAAAGTGAACTAAATATAATAGAAACAAAGACACTGAATTCATAATGCTTCATAGTAATCCATAGTATATTTTTGTCTTTCTTCCAAGAACTGAGATTTTCTCCATGTAACTTAATTTCTGTTTAATTTAAATTGAATTAATGTATATTATAATGTATACTCTAAATTGAAGGCATTATTCTTAATGAAGTACAACTGTACAACTACTATGACAATACTTGACCTAAACTTTTAAAATAAAATCTTAACTTTTTTTGGGTGGGTTGGTGGTAAATAAACAACTTTGTCAGAAATGATTGCCTATATGTGTATTACTATGTTAGCATTCTCTGAGGTGTAATTGCTATGGTATTTTATGTATACAGAGAATAAGAGAACAATAGTTAGAATTTTTAATTTGGTTAGTTTTGAAAATAATGTTACAATATATGGATTCTGACACATCCAACCACAAAAACTCTGGAGTTGTTTATGTATAACTTGGTGGATTTGGGGTGGTGGACATTTGGCCTGATGTTGGCAAAGTCACATTTTAGGACTAGTAGACATGTACTGTGTGGATTGTGGAAGGAACAGAAAACTAAGCCATCTAAGTTTAGAATCCATCAATTATACTGTGTTTACTAAGAACATATTCACAATTTCCCTGAAGAGAGATGAGTCAAAACAATTTACTGGATTATGGAATGTTGACCCAGAACATGTTTTGGTTCTTGAATGTACATAATAATGCCATTTAACTTTAATTTCTTGTTTACATGTGGGGGCTTTTGGTTTTTTTAAACTATTTTGTTAAAAAAAACTGAATAAAGATTTATTACTGTTATCCTTTTTTAAAAAAAACTCTCTTTTACTGTTTTTGGCTTCTGCTAAAATTAGAATTCTTATGATGTTTGGTAATTTTCAAAAGAGTGCTTTTTATTATTTTCTTGGAAGGAAAGTGGAAAACTCTGCTACATAACATTTTCACAACAAAACAAATTGTCTTTTTAAGAATTAGCATTTGGTACAGGATTGATGTTTGTGAATGGAGTAAGCCTAAGAAGTGGTGGTTTCATGTTAAATTATTCTGATAATCTCTTACTGGAGTTTCCAAGGACTAAATTTTAAGTTTTATATTTAAGCTCATAATTCTTGCGATTGCTTTCATTTCTGTTAAATGTGGATACCACAGAATTTTGGACTCAAAACAGAGTATACTCCATTCTGACTTGGCTACATATATAAAATGCTTTGGGTGGCATATTTATGATCACAATAAATTTGTAATGTTACTCTATCTTTTACGAAATATTGAAAGTTCCTTTTGGTCCTTTGAGGAGCAAGATATTTTATAGATTGAGCTTAATGAATGTTGATTATTTATTTATTTTTTTAAACCCTGTTCTCTGTAACTTGGTAATAGGATTTTTTTTTTTTTTTTTTAACATTTATATTCAAGCTGCAAGGGGTTGCCAATAGAGAGGGCAGAATAATAACAGCAAAATCTCTGGTACCAAATGGGAAGCAGTGCAATGTCACATTTTGTTACCAGATGTAAATGTCATGGATGGAGGAGATTTGAGAGTACCAGAGAACTGGAATGTGAGGGTATGAAAATGTCAGTACACGTGATGATAACACCTGGTATTAGGAAACAAAATGACCATCTGTCAGGATGATTGTGTTACACAGACTGTACTTTATACTCTTAAGATGAGTGTCTGGTTATGGCAGGAGCTAGTGGAAAGGGCCTCAGGATTTTGACACTATAGAACGGGAGTAGGAAGCCAGCCATCTATATGAGCTTTGTGTTATTTGACCCACACTGTGATTTTATATTTTGTTACTCCCATTTGAATGCCAATAGGAGCCTGTACTCCCCCTTTGGCCAAAAGTACATTCCCTACATCCACTTGCCCCACTTCTAGCCTGATGCTTGTGGACCTAATTTAAATATATTCCACTATTTTAGATACTTCTATGTCAAAACAAGATTTGTCCCAGTATGAAAAGGAGTGACTTTCTTCTTTGATGCCGCTACTCTGCACAAAAAAGTTTCTCAGCTGCAGAAAAAGATCAGCCTTCTTATATCTTCTCTATCAGCCATTCTTCTAACCCTAGTTCCTTGAGTCAATTGAATTGAGTTCCTGTCATGTATAACTAAAAACAACAAATAAAATTTTTTTAAAAAAGCAAACCTAAGTATTGTGAAATCTGATTTCAGACACCCCAAAATACCTTCCACGGTCCCTCAAGGACTTGAAATGCACACACCTTCCCATCCCCCAATGCTAAAAACATTTCTTTGAGTAGATAAATCCTTTCCAAAAAATGGAAAGTTACATGAATCAGTTTGTCAACAATCTCTAAGTAAAGCTTAATGTATCAGCGTAATTAACAGACCTTTCTAGTTTAATGGATGAATGCACTGAATTCCTAAAGACGGTAATACCAAGTATTCCTTCAAGATAATTGCTTTTTTTTTTTTTTTTTTTTTTGCGGAGGAGTGGTAAAAATTAGTTCACAGTGCTGGTTTTACCTTAATTTGAAAAGTATGATCTTATGGATGAATTTATGATTAGAAAGTGGGTGTGGGTGGATGTGTATAAAATCTTGTTTATATTATATAAAGTAAGTCATGTTAAATATTACCAGCAGATCTATAATTAAAATGCAAAAACATTGATCTAATTTCATATTGTATTATGTTTCTATTTTAAGTTTTCAAAATACATATATGTAATTTTGCATATATATATATATATATATATATATATATATATATGTGTTCATATATACATACGATGATTCTTTTGAAAACTATAAAATCTCTTCCTCTATGTGGTTTTTACATAGGTGACAAATACTGAGTTACCTACAAAGAAAATACCTTTAGGGCTGAATAATTTGGAATTTACTCTTGAATAAAAGCATAAAATCTAACACTTATTAGGTGCTAAATGTGTGTTTCAGCTTGGTTGGATCATAAGTTACCAGCAGATGTATAATTAAAATGCAAAAACTTCTTGGTAACATATCTATGTTTATTAGTAAGATTAAGGTTGTGGATTATTTGTGCATATACATATATGAGCTATAAAAGGATCTTATTCTAAGTGATTAATAATATAAAAATAGGAGGGGAGGCTGTACAGAATAATTTATTAAGTAAGCATTCTATGTCAACATTTTCCAGATTGTTATATAAAATAAGTTAGGTAACATTGCCAGCAGACATTCAAAATGCCCAAAAAATGGACTATTCTAGATTTATATTATATTACAGTTTGCTTCTACTTGCAAGTTCAAAGAAGTTAATTTTTAAAAGTTAAATAAATGTCTTCTTTGAGATACAATTACTGAAATTGAAAAGCCAAATATCAAACTTTGTTATTAATAATAAATCAGATTCTAACCAATTGACTGTCTTTTTTATAGGAACCCTGATAATGTTCAGGATTGTGAGATTTCAAAAATAGATTTAGTTTTTAAATTAGACAGCACCCTTCATGTTTGTAGCCATTGTTAACAGTACATCCCTTTATTAACAAAAATTACATGCTATTATGAGCAAATACCTTCCAAGCACTGGAGAAATAACAGCAAACAAGCCAGATACCTTCACTGCCCTGTTGCAGCTTACAGACTAATGGTTTGGGGCTCAATTATATATAGCTTAAAAATGTATACACACACACACACACACACACAGAGAAAAAAAAAATTGGCAGTGCTGGGGATCAAACCCAGAACCTGTTATGCTAGGCAAGTGTTCTACCACTGAGCAACACTCCTAGCCCATGTATTTTCTGTAGCTGAACATCAAAAAGCCAATGTTTGGGGAAAATCAAAAGGTTTTACATAGTGTTTCTATACATCTCTTTTGAAGGATTTATGTGGGTTCTATGCCATAAATATTAGATTCAAAGGCATCAGTTCTGATTGAATTTATTCCTACATGGAGTAATAAAATTCTAAGACATCTCTGCTGATCAGCAGAACCAATTCATTAATCAATGTTAATGAATCTAAATGGCTCTTCCCTGATCATATTCCTTACATATATTACCAATTAAAAATTACAAAGCTAATAACCTGGCTTAATAAAAGTTTCAAACTAAAACAAACAAAAAAACATACAAACTGATGTCTATGTGTGTGTGCAGTCTTATTTTTTTCTATTAGTATCTTTTGTTTACAATGTACATTGTAGCTTCTGAGAATAATTATTTTAAAGAAAATAATATAATTTAAATTGTTGAATTCATTTTAAAAAAAACAGAACTGCATAAGTTATTGATATAAAATAAATTTGAAGTCAACCACGTACCTAATTTCTATTTTTGTTGGGAAAGAGAACAAAATGAAAAACAGGAAAATATGGCTGTCACACAATAGGAACTCTTATCTGCACTCAAGATGCTCCTTAGAAACAGAAAATAGACTTTGATTCAGACTTGTCTTTACTCTCTTTTCTCTCTGCCTTCGGTTGCAAAACCAAACTCTTACTACTTCTTTCTCAAGATTCAGTTCTTCAGCCATCCGCATGATCTCCTGAGAGGAAGGCTTATTCTGTTCTCCAAAGTGTCTCTCCAGAGCATCTTTAGCAGCAATACTGGGATGGAGCAGTAGGGATGAGAGTGAGATAATGTTGATTTTAGTGAATTTTTTGGAAGAACAAAATCAAGTTGAATTTCTTACATATTGATATGAAAAAAGAACTCTAAGGTTAAACACTTGTAAATACAAAATACATTTTGTTAACATTTAGTTGTTTATTGTATTCCAGAGAGCATTACTGATGCCTCAGGAAAAAAATAAATGAGGGTCCCAGCTTTTCTATGTTTGTTCCATTTATTGCCACAGGAGGGCACCAAAATCTTGAAAAAGGAAATGAACAATAGGCATTTGTAAATATCCCCCTCTTTCTCCAACTTGTTTGGGTTATTTTTAATAAACAAAATATCTTGTGAACAACTAACCAATGGAAGCAAAACCTGCCTTCTATCATTTTCTATATGTATGCCCCACATAAATTACAAAAAACAAAAAAATCTTTTGGGGTTGAAATGCAAGATGTCATATTCAATGTTAAAAGACAGAAATACTAGACTGAAATACACTGAAATGGCTACTTTTGTTATTTTTAGTCAGACAGAAACTGTCCTATCAGAGCAAGTACATTTTCTACAAAAGTTCTCTTAGAACTTTCTTAGAAGTGACTATTTGGTTTTTGTTTTTATCCAAAATTTCTGAAACTAAAATGTTTTTTAATCAAACAATATATATTTTTCATGAACTGTTAAAAATTACCAGCTCTCTATCGCTCACTATTAAGTTTTTAAATTGTTTTATAATCTATCTTTTTTTCTTCAATTTTATTTATTTTATATGTATGTTATGTTGTGCCTACATTATATTAAAATGATGATTCCATTTGTAAAATATCTTTTTTTCCCTATAATAATATTGCAAAGGAATACCTTATAGTTGTTCTCCGTTTCCTTTTCCTTTCATTTGCTCCCACTTTTTCATTGTACAAAGCTATAATGTGGAAAAGAGAGATAATTACAAAAAGTCAATTTAAAAGAAAATAACTATCATATTTGGATTTCTTATTTTCTTCATGAAGCAATGAAAAATAAAATTACTTTTCATTTTTGTCTTCAATTTTTTCAGTCTTTGCCATTTTATTTTACATTCCATTTTTTTAAAAAAGTTGAAACAAATAGTAACTTTGCAAATATAATTTTTTTGCAAATCATATCTCCACCTTACTTTTGTTCAAACATTACTATAAGTATATTCAAACCTTGCTCTATATCCAGCATTGACATTAGTACGTGTAAAAAATGTTAAATTACTCATTGAGAAATTCCTTATGTTATTTATTTGGAAGACTGGTGTGTACAAATGCTCTGCATATACCAATTTTAGGTTGTAAAGGTATTCATGTACTGTTAAGTCAGTGGAGCACAGAGGTAAAATATCTGGGTGTGTTCAGATATTTTACCACTTCGTTCTGATGTCACATTATCTAAAAGTTTTCCTTATATAGCTTATTCTGTCTTCAATAAATTGACTTCTATACTTTCTTTGCACTGTTCTTCCCCCTCTTCTTTCCTTCTTTCCCTCCTTCCTTCCTTTACTCCTCCCTTCCTTCCTGTCTCTTTTTGTAACAAGATGTTTACTTTTCATCTCAAAGAGAAAAGGGGAGAAAAACCTCAAGCCTCTTGCTTTAGTATTAATCCTCCCACTTGCAGTAAATACTTTAGATTAAAACTCAGCACAGTCTTCAGGGATTTAGCTTTAGTACCTCCTACTTGCTCAGCTTCCTCCAGCCATTTTGATAATATTGCTTTTAGTTTGCATGCATTTTTAAAACTGAGTTGTAGGTTTTCAAATCTGCAGATGGTTGTCTGACTGAATTCAGAGCCATGCACAGCTGCCAGGGCTTCCCCAACGTTTGTTTGGGTGTATCCTGTGAAAGGGCAATAAAGATCATTAGCTTCAGCTTTTTAAAAAGCATCAGTTTTGGTTCATTGTCACAAATATTTGTGCATCTTTCTTTGCCAACTATTACTTTTTAAAAATAATATATTTTTGACAATTTAGAATTATTTAGTGAGGATCAGTATAGGATTGTCCAGTACTTCAAAAAATATTCCTTGTTAATTAATGAATTACTTTTTTCTAAAAGTCAAAAAATTTCATATGGGGCTGGGCTGGGGCTATCGCTCAGTGGTAGAGTGCCTGCCTGGCATGTGTGAGGCGCTGGATTTGATCCTCAGCACCGCATAAAAATAAATAGATAAAGATATTGTGTCCATCTACAACTAAAAAAAAAATTTAAAAATTCATATGGGAACATCAACCATTTGTAATATTTAGTCAAGTTGGATGGATGTATTATAAATAATTTATAAGAAAAATATTCTTATCTTTTATCATGATTATTAAATATCTGATGATATATGATAAAAAACATTAATATATCAAGTATAATGCATAAAATATGTTATAGATATTTTAACTCCAAACATGAGTGAAATATTAAACTATATTGTTGAAAAGTACCAAATAAAACTAAGAAATATGTATACTTTCCCTAAAAATATGTCTATAATGAGGTTATGATCATACATTGTATGCATACATCCAAGCACATTTATTATATTGTTTGGTAATGCTTCTGTCTCCAAGCAAAAGATCCTTATTGACTGTCCCAAACATTTCTAGAATACAAGCTAAAATAAACCATCAACATGTAATTTGAAACATTCACAGCAATACAAACAGAAGACTGAAAATGAATGTCATAAAGATTTCTACTGTTGTGTTTATTACATTAGTAGCTACATATTATTTTCAGGGCCTAAAGCTATATACCTATACCTATAAAGTGACTACATATGATGCCATCAATAAGTATCATTATAAAATTCTCTGATTCATTTCACAAGTTCAGCGGTTCAAACTGTCATTTCATTCTACTTTTTAAAATAAACTACTTCATGAATTTTAATGACAATTAATTGTTATAGCTGTTATGTTAAAAACACTTTTCAATAGAAAATGAACAATAGCTCTGAATAGACTGTCACCAGAAAACAAAATACAAATGAGCATTAAATATGTAAAAGAATACGCCTCACTCAAAGGAGAAATTTGAAATGAAACTAAAATGAGAGGGATTGGGGATGTAGCTCAGTGGTAGAGAGCTTGCCTAGCATGTACAACTCCTCCCCCACCCCCACCCCCACCGCCAGCTTTGTAAAAACAGAAGGGTGGGGGGAAATACCGTGAGATGTCATTTTTACTTATTTGTTTTGAAAGATATAAAAGATTAATAACATATTTTTCAACCATTATTGACTTTATATTCTTGTCACTGTTCTAGATGCTGAGGATATACCATTAAAGAGAAAACAAAAAGAAATAAGGAAAAAACAAAACAAAACACCTAACACCTATTTTCTTATATAGTGAGGGTGGCAAAACAGACTATTGGTGGTAGTAAAATTTGGTACAATTTCTGTGGAGACTAGTTCAACAAAGATCTGTTACAAGTAAAATTTTTAATCAGAAAGTCCCTTTGTACATTTTTCTTATGTATATATTTATATAGGTATAAAATGCATATTTAAAGTTAGAACTGTGGGCATTGTTAAAGTTAGGCATTGTTTTTGACAGCAGATGATAAGAAACCTAAATTATACCAGAAGAGGATTTGTAGAATACATTGTAGTATATTTTATAAAATGGAAGTCAACAGATCCATACAAGGAAAAAAGCTCTAAAAAACTCAAAACTCTTCCAAATAAAACTGCATCAAAGAATATGTGCTAATTTATATATGCACAAGATATCTGGAAAATACAGGAGAAACTAACAACATTGGTAAGCAGAAATTTTTAATCATGTGAATTTATGGTCTATTCAAAAGTTCACATAAAATATAGATTAAAAGGGCACTCCCAAACTAATCTTCAGGTAGATAAGTTTTAAAACAGTACCTTTACTTAAAAAACAAACAACAACAACAAAAAAAATCCAAACAAACAAATTAAAGAAAAACACTTTTTTTGGCTATTATACATGGAAATAATGTTTTTTGTAGATTTTCATAGTTTGACTAACTGAAATCTGCAGTAGAGATGTACAATGAGAACTGTCTTAGACTTTTGAACAGAGCATAAGAAATTTCACAGTGACAGAGTAGGATTGTCATATTAACAATCCTTGCTCTTAACACATACCTAACTTAATTCTCCTCACTTTAAATTCATTGGCAAACTTTTCAAGCTCTCGAATTTCTGGAGAATCCATGTCTATTGGTTCTTCAACCAGTTTGCTCTTCCGCCTGAGTTCTTGCTTGAATTCAGCGACTGTGGTGTCCTCTGCCAAGAGAGGCTGGTGGAGGGCAGGAAACCCATGACCCAGGGTGTGATCAGGAAACTTGTAAAGGCAAGGAGTTAAACTACCTGTGAGCAAACAGAGGAAAGCACAGGCCATTGGTTATTACCCCCTTGTTTTTACACAAGCCAGGGTCTTGCCTGTTAGAACCCCTTATTCTTCCCTGGACAGTCTCAATTCCTCAAGGTTACCTTACATCCAGCCTCCCAAAGTAGGAGTCACAGTAACTCAGTAGAAATGGAATTTTTTATCTTCACCTTCTCCAGAGCAGCAAAAACAGAAATAATGTCAAAGGCAAGTAGCAAGAGACTGCAAATAATTAAAATAGAAATATTTTAAAATTCTCTCAGAAGTTTAAGATTGTCAATATTTTTTGCCCTTCTCTCTCTTACCTATTCCTGAGAATCTGAGTTTGTATCTCTGTCCTCTTAATTAATTAGACAAATAATCTTTAGTGCTGGGTAAAATTGAGGCACCAATCATTTTGAACTAGCTGCTGTGCCACAAGTTTTCTTGTGACTGGGAAATTGATTTTACAATATTAATAAGTTGCACTTTTTAAAGAATTAGTAAATGTTTAATTTCAATTGGGAAATAATCATATTTTTAAAAAAACAAAAACAGGTAAAAGAAATTATGAGAACTTAAAATACATTAATATGTTTAAGTAGATTTTAGGAATGAACAGTCCAACAAAGGGTGATTTTACAAGTTCTATTAAAAAGTTGTCAACAAACTTTTTGGAAAATATGCAATAGAATGGAATAACTTCTTGGTGATTATTTAAGGAAAATCAAAAATAAATGGCAAGGGAGATACAATTCTAGATATTAAAGGTAATCACTCATAAATGATGAACTATTGATTAGTTTGTTAAATGATAACAAAAATGATACACTGTTCTGATATTTTAGAAAATTCTATCCAACTCCATTCCTCATTAGGAAAAAAGGGATCTATCTCCATATAGGAGCATAGGTGACAGTATGGCATATAAGATGAGTTCCAACATACTTTTTAAAATCTTTCTTCATAGGTACATTACTATTTTATAAAGATTTCATTTCTGTTTATTTTAAATGACATGTATAACCAAGACATTTTGGTACAGAAATATTGAGTAACTTGTGAGTGAGTACAAATACTTAAAAACAAATTATTATAAAATATGTGCAATAATTGTTCTTGAAAACAGTGGAAATATATATCAAGGCTTCATGCTCTTTACAAAATCCATAAACCCATAAACATATTCACAAATCAGACATGAGTAATAATGTAAAAAATAAATCTTTGATTAATATATCAGTATGTAATGAATAAAATTATCACTAAGCAAAGTGTTGACTTATTTATATGAGAACATGTAATTATAAAGTAAGTGCACCCTTATCCAGTAGAATATATCATTTCCTAATGAAAATTAAAGATACAAATGAGAGATTAAATAAAATGATATTAAATAAATTTGGTTGCTTCATATGTATGAAAAATATTTGGAAGACACTAGTTTTGTCTTGAAAAATGTGTGCATTTACAAACCAAAATTATCCAGTTAAATTGTTGTGTATCTTCTACCTAAGCATACCATAAGGTCTGAATCTGTTAGCAATTTTGATTACTATTTTCAATTTGTCTTTCAGATCAGAATCATTTACTACTGCAAATCTTCTATGCAACACTTTGGGCTTATTTCTCATGGTAATGGTCCTCATTCTTACACAAACGAATGAGTTAGAATATGTATTTTCCCCCAAAATTTAAAATCTAGGAAATTTAAGAAGAAATTAAATAATTTTCTTCGAGTTCCACAATGAACCATTCAATAGTAAATAGAACAGAATTCCACTAAGCACTCAAATAAACTACATCAAGACAATTACCTAGTTTATTTTCCAAACTGTATGCACTCAGGTAAGTTAAATGACTTTCCTTTAAAGGGTTTTCCTGCATTTAAACACATTTGGCTACATTAAGCAAAAGCTTTCTGACAAAAATATTAATTAATTAAAAAAGTGTATTATCCCTATTTCCAGGAATATTCAAAAGTAGTTTATACATTATAAATACTGCAAAGAAGTGGACACTTAGAAAATAAATTTTAACAAAGTCCATGAAATGTGTATAAGAAACACTATGCTTCAGTTTGGCATCCAAAGTAAGAATAAAGACATGATGTGCAATACATTTTTATTCTATGTTATATAAAAGTTTCCACAATTATTATTAGTCTAACAGTTTTCTTAGAACTACCCTTACACAATTCAGCATAGTAGTTGCAAGTACAACCAAAGTGCCATTTATAGCATGTGTTTCTCTAGTTAAGGGAAGTGGGGAGTAATTGGTATGGTATATGTGGCAAGAAATTTTTCAAATCTTTTTTGAGTCTGGATTACTGAGGAAGAAAAGCAGAAAGAAAGTAAAAGATGTGCTATTCTTACACAGCAAATCTCTCACAAACATTTTTGGAAACATTGATAAAGCAACATTGTGTCTTTAGATAAAGGATCTAAAGAGAGTGTACACTAGACAAGCACACATTTAAATAGCTCGGACTCATTCTCATCCTCTCCACAGCCTAAATATGTCTTCACATTGCAGATTAAGCCACCACAGCCCTTCTGAATTGTTCTGTATGTAATTTTGTATGGCAGAGGTGAAGGATAGAGGTAACTCTTTTAAAGCAGGCAGTGGAGGACAGAGGTAGGGCTTGCCTTGCAAGGTACTGATTCTGTACCATGGCATGGGGCAAATTGTTCTTCTGCAACATGTGACAGAAGCTGACAACTTCTCAGGTTATGGGCTTGGTGGGGGTGGAGAGGGAAGCAACTACTTAGCCATAGAAATGCATGAAAACATGTATTTGAATATTTCTATTTATTCCATCTTTTTCCCCATGCATAAAAATTGAAAGCAAATCATAAATCCCAATTCTGATCTTTTCACCTTTATTGCACTGGTGAATGCAACTGTTTGCAACAGGGTCCACTGCCAGTTTTTGTAAATTAAGTTTAATTGAAACATAGCCATGCCCATGTAGCTTGGGACTGATCTCCTGCTACAATGACAAAATCAAGCACTTGCAACAAGAGTCTAGAGAGCATAAGATATTTACTGTCTGGCTCCTGACAGGAAAAGGTCACCAATTTGTAGTCTAAAAGGGAAAATACTTCACGTTACTGCTACTGAAAGACCTTTTGTGATTGGTTGAGAGGCAAAAGACGTTGGAACTATTCCTTCCCTCACAGTGGATAATTCTGAACAACCATAGGAACACTTTAGGGTAAAACAAAATGAAAGAGGAGCAGAGAGATGGAAGGAGGTGAGAGGGAGAGAGGAAAGAACAGACTGGACAAAAGAAATTTAAAAAGCATTTTTTTTTTTAATGAAGAGATGGACTTGAAAGTAGACTTTTTTCCCCATCTCATTGGTTGAAGTAATTTTGGGTGCCCCTTGTATTAATTCAGGTCAGGAGGAGGACATTTTCATTCATAATTATCCTTTCCCTTATTATCCACTTCTCATCAAAAGAGGACGGATATTCATTCTTTTGGTTAATTCCCTAACATATTTCTTTCTTCCTTCTTAAAATTAAACTTTAAAACAAGAACTATCATGCCAGTTCTTGGTTCTCCATTGCATCTTATATCCAAGCTAGAGTTAATATTCAGTGCCAGGAGGCTGATTTGCTTCAATTCCTAGGAAGGAGTGACGTCCCAATGAGCTAAATTTCAAAACTCTGCTTTAGAAGCTGGAGAACACAAACAATCTCAGATACCCAAGAATCAGTGTTAAAGATTTTTGTTAATATTTCGTTCTGTGCTAATCTAGAAAAGATTGGAGTAGCATTTATATTTCTCTGTTTCCTGTTATTTGCACTGTAGACTGTTGAATCGTCTAAATTGTTAGAAGTGAAGGAACAGAAGAAGGAATTTTAGCAACAAGAATATATGAAGAGATCAAAACAGAAAGCAGGTTGAGTCGGGTACAAATTTTGCTGCTAGATTTATAGATATGGAAAGATTGAAGCTCAGAGGTGCTATGTGACTTGAACAAGGTTAGTAATTAGTTAATGGTGTGGCTTTTGCTCCCAATTAGTCATTCTGTTTATGCCTGTGCCTGAACGAGGAGGTACAATGGATTCATCTGATGATTAAAATCCCCCATACTAAACTAACAAAGTATTAGCTGTAGCTCTTCCCTTCCTGTGAGCTAATTTAATAAAATGCTCAAATGAAAGCATCAGAGTATAGGTAATAAAATAAATAAATTAAAATAGTAATTTCACATCCTTTGAAATATAATTCTTTCTGGAGCTTCATTTTCATGCAGAGCATGTGACACAATCTGTCTTTGTTGTTGATAAGATGCGTCTGTGGATTGGGAGAAAGTAGCTGATTCACACCTTCTAATGCTTCAGAAAATTCAAATAACAACCAGATTTCTATTATGTATTTTATATCTTTTTTTCTTATTTATGAATTCCTGTATTTTATGACTCAATTTGTGCTGCTTCTCTGAGAATGAAGGCATGAAAATATAGATTCTTTAAGGTTTAATCTGCCATGAAGAAAATGCTAATGGTGGGTATAATGTCAAAATACAGACTTTCTGACAAATTATAAAGCATATCACATTTTAATGATATCTCTCTCAGAAATATTCAAATACAACTGTATGCTTGGCATAGTGAGCTTTTCATTCAGTGAAAAAAAATAATTTTAAGGCCGCAATTATACCTGCAAATTAACAATTTTGCTCTTGTTGCCCCTAAGACAGGTTTTGAATCTGGTTAAAAGGTTTTCTCAGGGGACTTTTCCTTTTTAATTGTGATGAAGAAGGGATTAGTGAAAGAGAGTTTGTTAACTGTCTGCTTGAGTGAACTTGTACCCACAAAACCTGAACTGCCTGTGGAATTTTATTGTGAACCCAATCTGTTGGCTCCAGTCCCAGGAACAGTATGGATGTTAGGATTTTGAGGCCAGCTGCAAACCCATTGGGCCAGCAGTGGCCCTCTTTGATGTGGTGGAAGGGAAGAGTTATCATTAAGGAGCTAAAGGTATTATGGCAAGAAACTATTGGCTATTGGTCTGTGGCCGATTTTTCATTTGTGCTGTCTTCTAACAAGGGGCAGGGATTGCTTCTGTGCTGGAATAAGAGGGAAACAAAAGGTAAACCCGTGGTTCCTAGAAATCACCGTCAATGAACTTTCCTCCAAGAGACAGCAGCATCTAACTATGTGCTTGTCATTTCCTATCTACATAATCAAAATATTGTAAGACAAAAGAAAGCGGTCCACCTGCAACTGCAGTAGCTCAATGCACAGATTTGATCATTTTTTAGTGGGAAGTAGTTCATCCCTGAGGAGGGTTGTTCTTATCACCTATGAACACTGATTAACTTAGGACATGGGTCATAAGTGGTCAGTTCTTAAAGGCAAAGAGTATCTTTGGCTTTCCCTATTTCTGAATTATTAGAAATCACATCAGGCTTCATTTTACCATAAAAGTGAGGATGCTAGTTTATTTGAAATGTTATATGACAGAATGTAAAAAAAAAAAAACTAATCTTTTTCTGAAATACTTTAAAGTTTTAACTGTTTTTGAGTCTTAAACTGAGATGTTTCAAGAAATTCAAGAATAGAGGATTAAATTATTTCTTTTTATTTCAAAATTATAGGCATAAATTGATGTTTCTTCATTTCAAATTTTATCTAGATTATAATGAAACATAAGTTAAAAGATATTTCAAAGTTAAATATATGATTCCTTCATCCAAAATTTCTCAGTATCATCTCTCTCTCTCTCTCTCTCTCTCTCTCTCTCTCTCTCACACACACACACACACACACACACACACAGAGTCTCTATTTAATATAACTGATGAGAGTTCTTTTCATGCTATAGAAATAAACATGGAAGATTAACCAATTTGTTTATAAAATAAACAACAAATAAAAATTTGTGCACAACAAATTGTGCCTTGTATTAATCAATTAAAATTTTTTATCTGCTCATGCCGTAAAATGAGTAATGAGTTTTTTCATGAGGAGATCTCTTATCCAGATTTTTTATCTTCCTTAAAAACTATACTATGGATCAGGAAAATGCAAGTCAAAACTACACTAAGATTTCTTCTCAGTCAGAATTAGGATTGTCAAGTTTAAAAGGAACAATAATAAATTCTGATGAGGATGTGGGTTGTAAAGTACACTCATACATTGCTGGTGGGATTGCAAATTAGTACAACCACTATGGAAAGTAGTGTGAAGACTCTTCAAAACGGAGGAATGGAACCACCATTTGGACCACCTATCCCATTCCTCAGTATTTATCCAAAAGATCTAAAATTGGCATACTACAGTGATGCAGACACTTTAGTATTTATAGCAGCACAACTCATAATAGAAAAATTATTAAATAAAACCAGATGCCCATCAACAGATGAATGGATCAAGAAATTATGGTATACACACAATGGAGTTCTACTTAACCATATAGAAGAATAAAATAATGACAGCTGTTGGTAAATGGATGGAAATGGGAAAAAAATCATGCTAAGTGAAATAAGCCAGATTTAATAATCAAGAGTCAAATGTTTTCTCTCATATTAGGAAGCTAGCAAAATAAGGGAAGGAAAGTGGTGAGGGAAGGGATCAGATATTATGAAGATATAAGGTAAATCAGTGGAGTAGAAGAAGAACCAGAGGGAGAGAGGGAGGAAAGAAGGGAAAAGGGTAAAAATATAGAATGAATTTAACAATAATGTGTTACATACAAATATAAATGTATCAAGAATAATTTCACCTGTACATATTTGTAGAAAATTCCAATCAAAAATAAATAAATAAAGGAGTGAGAGGAAGATCCATAGAGGAAAGTAGACAAAATGGGGGAAGGAGGAGGGCAGGCAATGGGCATGGAATGAAGATTGAAGTCAAATTGCTTGTACATATTATTTTGCCAAAATTAATCCAAATACTATGAATAATACTCAAATTTTAAAAATGCTATGTGCTCCTATGAGCATAAGTAAATCAGCAATTATGCTTGAAATGGTGATACTTTACTTATCCAGAAGAGATAAGTATGTAACTTAATTAATTTCATTCTCAGCTAAGACTCTCAAGCATCTCAGAAAGGGTGGCCAAAGCCCCAAATAGCTATCAGAAAAGTCCTCGAAGATTACTGTCAGCTTTCAGACAGTATCTTTATATTAATCTTTATGGACCAAATAGTTCAAAAGAAATACTGTGGTGAGGGAGATGTTCAACAAATCTCTTATGTCTGATATGGCAGCCGTAGCCACATGAGGTAACTGAGCACCCAAAATGTAGCTAGGGTACCTGAGGGAACTGGATTTTAAATTTTATTTTATTTCAATTAATTTGCATTTAAATTTAAATGCTACTGTATAAATATTGAAGGCAAGCCTGCAATAGCCTCAGGTGTCAAATGGCAGTTTGATTTTTTAATTTTCAAATTAAAAAATGCAAGGCAAACATAAGAGTTTAGAAGGACAACAGTTTATGAGTATATATAGAATAGAGCAATCAGATATGACCTCTATGATCTCTGAGGACATCAAAGATCAGGGAACATCTCAATAAGTGGTGATTTTACCAGTAAATTTCAAGGTTAAGATATCAGAAGAATTTTATGTTAAGTACTGGTCACCATTCCCAAAAGACCAGAGAATTCATTGGTTTCCCTCAATTCAATATCATATACAAAGATAATTTTTCTTACCTGCCATCACTCCATAGGTTGATGGCTGGTTTCCATAATGACAGGAAGGAACAGAATAATGAAGTCCTGTTGCTGTATTTCCCAACGTTGTCACAGAGAAATATGTGCACGAACATTTAGGAGTTTGGATCAAAGACAAAATAGACGGGACTGGTAAGAAAATGTATGAGGATTCAAGACACATTCAGTTCATTTCAAAGATACACATTTATGTGATTCTTAAAGCTATATGCCAATAATTTCTTTTCACTGGGGAGAAGTTTTTAGTGAGTAGGCAAAACTAGGGATCAAACTTCACTTCTAGTAATGAGATCTTAAGTTATTGGAGTGAACTATAACTTCCATTAATTATCCTGTGATCTGTGCTATAGCTACAAGTACCCCATAAAGGGGTGACGGGTCAGTGTAGATCCTGGCTTTTTGGGGAGTTTCCATCCAATACAGACATTACAACAACCAAGAATAGCCTCTTAACATTGTTATGCTAGAAATTTTTCTCTGGAAGAATAAATACTGAAATTGACTCTTTGAATAGAAGTCTGTAGGTTTGCTTATTTTCCTAACAACTTCCTTTCACAGAAGAGGAAATGACAGTATCCTGCCAGTGCATACGATTGTAACAATATCCCTGCTTTCAGGGTGTTCAGCAAAACCTGTGAAATGGTATGATGGATTTGATGTATTTATGCAGGTTTTCTATGAACACATTTATTCAACCATTTTTATGATAAAATCAATTGGAAAATAAGTTCATTGTCAATTGAAGATATACATAAAGCTCTGTGTAAACATAATCTTATTTATATATATGCTTCATGGAACCAATGTGTATTTTAACGGAAATTTGAATTACTGAAATTTTATCAAGTTTTAAATATAAATCAAGTTGACGAAGAGCAAGGACTATCAAATATTAAACTGTCAATGTTTCTTTATATATTTTCTCACTTTTCCCTCATGTTCTGGATAAGGTGGTAGATTTTCATAATCATAACATAAACCAATCTTATGAATAAACGAGATGTCGTATAGTATAGGACTAGGATCCTTTGAAAACAAAAGGCCCATACTCTTTCCCTTGACTGCGAGCATGGTGGCACACACCTGTAAATCCCAGAAACTTGAGAGGCTGAGGCACAAGGATAGCCAACCTTAGCAACTTAAAGAGGTCTTAAGGGCTTAGCGATACCCTGTCTAAAAAATAAAATTTAAAAATATCTTGGGCTTTGGCTCAGTGGTTAAGCACCCTGGGGTTCAATCCCTGGTACCAAAAAGGAAAAAAATAAATACTAAGATATGATCTAGTGATTAAAGACTTGAGGACTATTCATAAAGAAAAATATATTTTGTCTAAATACAGAACAATCTTTAATTTTTTAAATGTCTGAAATTCATTTTATAACTGACATCAAAAGAACTGAAATTGTTTTGCAATATAAAGATGACAACAAAATCTTACTATGTATTCAAAAATCAAACAAATAAGTATAAACACATTTAATACCCAAATTTTCTAATTAAAACCAGTTTTTCCAATTTGTAGACAATTAGATACATTTAACTTCATAAAAAAAGTATTAATCAATTTAAAACAATTTAAGGTTTTTTAACCATTTTTGCTGGAATGAAACTTTTTTACTTTCAACTTTTGAATAATTTTTTATTCTGGTTTTATGAAGTTGGGTAAAGAACAAGCTAATTTACTAAATGCTCTGGTATTTGTTTCTAAAATAAATAGGCTTCTTACTCTTGAGAAGCCCATACTCCTTCCTTTTGACTGCAAAAATCATTGCTTTTCTAAAAAAAAAAATTCTGTTTGTGCCTAAAATCAAACAAATCAGTAGGATTTTAAGCTTAAAATTAGATCCCTTTGCTAGATCACTACCTCAATTCTAAAGTTCATTTTCATGCTGACTAATATTTCTTTATACAGCAGTAGTTAAAAGAAGCAATATATTGTTCTTATACCTAATATGTAAAATGATTTATTATTTAAAATATATGATTAACTATATGGCAATTTTTTAGATTGATTTATAGTATATGTAAAAAGTATTTATAACTATATATGTAATATTATATATATATATATATATATATATATATAAAATATAATATAACAAATGATTCAAATGATTGTATTAAACACTTGGTTCTATTTTTAAAAAATATGTTTGAGGATACTTCCAATATTGTCTTTTTAGTTTAATTATAGGAACATTTTTAGATGGAAAAAAAAATCCTACATTGAGTGATTTTATAAAAGTCCAAATATCCAATCTCTAGATTTTTAAAAATTCTTCTAAGGATTAATATCAAACTTACATGTTTGACATTATGTTTTGAAACTCTCTAATTACAGTGAAAGTTAAACCTTCAATCTTTTAAAACAGAACATATATTTATCAACTCAAATTTTGATTCTGGATGTATAAAATTTTATTTTATTTTTAAACGTGAGGCAAATTACATCTAGAACAAACAAAAAATGAATAGTGTATTACTAATTAATGGAAGAGATATACTCTATTCAAGCCTTTATCCATTAATAAATCAATTTTGAAGCAGTTTGTTATCATATAGTTAAGGAATTAATGCAGTAAGAAAGCATATATATTTGGCTGATTGTGGTGAGACAAAATATTTAAATTCCCAAATTTAATTTCTATTTAAAACAGATGAGAAAATCATAAGAGCTTGTTTATATAGTCTCTGTGGAACTCAATCTTGAGAAATTTAACTAAGTTAATATACTCTAACTGTTATATTACTTCTAGTGATTTTTATTATGTTTAAGACATGTTTATTAAAACATTTAATTACTTTATTCCTTAAAATCTACTGTTGTTGGCATTGGAAATTATCCAATTGTATTTACTATCAAATTTATGACTTTTAAACAGTTCCACCTGTGATTTAAAAACCAAATAAATCTTTAATAAAAGGAGTAGTACCTAGTAAATATTAAACTATTTTAGAATAGTCACTTCATTTTTTTGTTATACATAAATGTTTCCATTCAAATATTTTTCAGATTAAAAAAAATCCTGCCCATTGCTTTCATATGTCTAAAAGAGATATTCTTTATTGTAATAAAATCAATAATAATCTAGATGATTTCCTTAATATTTCCTTTAAAAGTCTATAGGCATTTTGTTTTTTAAAATATCTTTAATATTTAACAAATCAAATTAAATTGAAGGAAAAATATAAAAGAAACTAAGAGATTATTCAGTAGCAAGAGTCAAAGCATTCATTCTGAAAATTTTAGGCCTAGCCATATGGAAACTCTCAAAGGGGTCAGTACCTGTAGACATCACATTGGTGGCATGGTTGGAGACTGGTAGGCACTCGGCAGCACTGTGATGCATTATCAGAGGCAGAGTTGCAGAAGCGTCAGAATTCAGAGGTATAAAGGTATCAGCCGGAGTAAAAGATTGGCAACTCATTCCCACAAGAGAGTAGAAAAATAAGAAGAATTGCTGCTCCCCAAATGAAAGTTTTATTATATTACTGTATCAAAGGGCTGATTCAATTCTCCCTACCTGCATATATACATCAAGAAGGCTCTGAGGCACCAGGAGGGCGCGTGCTTGCATTTATACTGCAAGGAAATCCCTTTATACATGTTAATAGTCTTTTCCCAGGAGTATTGCTTTATCAACCTGAACTGTCTTCCTTTCTTACCCAAACATATCCATGCCCAAGAAGGAAGCTGGTTCTGGGGGATAGCTTGAGGGGAAGGGAGAAATCTGAAACTCTGACAACTTTAGTAATCTGGATATTTTGGAGAGGACTCAAGAACTTTGAAAAAGTGTTTCTCAAAGAAATAATGTTACAATTAATTGAAAAATAGTAGGTGTCTTTTGGCTACTAGCAAACATAATTACAAATTTATAAATTTCCCCCCTTTTTTGGCTAAATTATCATTAAACCTGCAAAATAACATGAAACAAGAGAAACACATACTATGTAATGTTAAGAATTTTAATATTTAAGTGTTATTGGAGAACAATTACTGAGAAAAGCAGATGCAACTAAATATGAGAATGAATATGTTGCCTGTTACTAATTTAAACCAACAATGCACATTTTTGAAATACTATGACCAGCAATTAAATTGATACTATATTTAAGTGGAAAATGGAAAAAAAGGAATAAAATGTAGTAAGGTACATAGAAGACAAACATGAGTGTCCACATCTTTCTCTTGATTTCAATTTACTCATCAACCACTAACATTTACTAAGTTTTAATTAGAATGCTGACAGTATTCAAGGGTACTTTCTATAGCTATATCAAGTAAATCTCACAGCACTTCTGTGAATTATGTACCAGGTCATCCTCATTAAGCCAGACTGTGCCAGAGACTGAAGTCTGGGCCAGAGCCTGGAGTGACCATGGTAGCATTGAATGCAGACTTCTCACACTGAATATATTGACATTATATAGGAATGAAAAAATACAAATACCAAAACCAGTTGATTCAAATATAAATATAAGCAGCAAGATTTTTAATGATCATGATTTCTATCTATACCTGAGTGAATGCAATATTGTTTAGAGCATATATGCTAGGATAAAATAGTAAGAGTTATCTGATAGACATTAGACATTACTGATGTGAAGGTCATGCTTTATTAGACTCTTAAGTTTTTTATTATGGAATATTTCAAGAGAAGTTAGAATTGGTTGCTTTTGGTTAAGTTTAACATTAATATTGAAAAGAATATATCTTCTAAAAACTAGAAAAATTAGTAACCAATTGAAAGCTTGTAGGAAAATTTGTTAAAGATTGCCTAAATCATTAGATATTGTCTAAAAATACTATTCTAAAAAGATATATTTTCCATTCTGAATTAATCTGCTCTATTATATTAATTATAATAATCCTTATTAATCTGCTCTAATGAGATGAAGATTTATATAACCAAAACATTTATTATACTTTTGCAGAATTGTATATAAAAACATGCAGACTTAAAAGTATATAAAAACATGGTCTTCCAGTATGTTTATAAAATTAATATGCTAAGAAACTAAATGCAAATAACTTTATTGAGAATAACTTAATGAAAAGATTAAGCTATATGATATTTATGGTGATCACAATTTGAAAATCACCCTTAATAATTTTGCTAGTATTATATAAACATCATGGTAATATTTTTGTAAATTATATCAATAAAGTAATAATGGAATACCATCAAATCTGACTAGCAAATAATAAAAATTTTCCTAGTAATTCATCACAATAATTAAATTATGAAGTTGCAATATTAGACAGTCTTGCTTTAATAAAGTAATTTAAAAAGTTTAAGATAGGCATTCCAGCTACTCTGAAGGCTGAAGCTAGAGGATCACAAATTCAAGTCCAGCCAGGGCAATGTGGCTGACATTGCCTCAAAGAATTGGGGTTGTGGCTCAGGGATAGTGGGCTTAGCATCTAGCATGTGCAAGGCCCTGGATTTAATTTCTAGTACTGCAAAAAAAAAAAAAAAAAATTAAACACCTGTCTATGAAATGAAAACTTCAATGATAGAGTTAAAATACTCTCAAGCTAAGAAACAGATATTTCCATTATAATCTTCTCAATATCATAAACTATTTATTTACCAATTTTATTACCAGTCTTGTAAGCAATTTTAATACTCATATAATATTGAATTGTATATAAGTAGCAATTAAAATTTCTTCACTTATTTTTGGTATTTGTGTTACTTTCTTCTTTTTACTTTTGTAAACAAGAATGTAATTGACATTTCCATCCAAAATATTTTAATGATGTATTTTTATAATATAATGTAGGATTTTTTTGCATGTTCCCTTTAAAGATAGATTTTTAGATGTAGGGGTAGACACTATGTTTTCCAAACTTTTATCATTTTAAAAATAATTTGTTCTCTAATGATTTTGTTTTCAAATTTTGTTTTGGCACAGCTGTTCGCTTTTTCTATTTTCTTTTATTCTGTCTCCAATTTTCTTACCCTCTGCAGAGTAGCCTGGGCTGATATTTCCTCCATAGCCACCTCACGCATCATCTTAAACTTTCAAGTAGGCAAAGGGATGATCTTGCAGCTTCTTTATTTACATTAATGACATAAATATTCTTTTGGGATGTGGCTATTTGATGTATGCAGAAGCACAAGTTTGGCTCCTTTTGGTCCATGCTTAGGAATGAATGGGTTTGCCCTGAATGCACATAGGTATTTGTAGATAGAGGGATAGGTTATAGTCTGGGAGGACAGTTAAAATATAACTGATGCTGTTATATGATTGTATGCTAGCACCATTAATAGAATTATGAATTATTTTACGCTCTTAATGTCAGTAGTAAAGACTAGGTAGTGATGCTTTATCAGTTTGATAGGACCATGGAATTTTATAGCTTTATTCTGATTTTTGGATTGCTAATATGCTATCCTTTCATTTTATTTATATTTATCAGATTGTTATTAGTTCCACACTTTGCCATTTTATTTAATGCCATTCACAGTTTTATTACCATTTGTATATTTTGAAATATACTAAAAATATTAATTTTCATACTTTTCAATTTATTATTAAAAATTTCTAATTTTTATGTCTTTTAAAGTTGTGCTAGACATTAACATTCACAATATTTAAAAAAATTTTTTTTTAGTTGTCAGTGCACCTTTATTTTATTTATATGTGGTGCTGAGAATAAAACCCAGTGCCTCACGCATCCTAGGCAAGTGCTGTACCACTAAGTTACAACCCGACCCAACATCCAGAATATTTTATGTAAGATATAAACATGTTGATCTTTTCATTTCTGTATTTCTTAATGATTTAAAATTTTAAAATTCTCCTTTATCCAAAGGCTTATTTACTTATTTTTCACTTTCATAATTTTGAGTCTTACAAAATTCCTCTTGACATTTTAGGCTAATATATTCATTATGTTTCTAGAGTTTCTTTATAAATGTTTAGATATTAATGAGAAATATAGCTAAATTAAAAATATTAGATAAAAATAAAGACTACTTCAAATTAAGGTAATAAAAGAATAAATACAAGGAAATTATTGATAATGGTGTATTTGTTAACCTAATTCATTTACTGTAGCTCTTCTTAAACTAAGAAAATGATTATTTTTTTGAAATACACTTAGGTTTGAAAGAATAATAACACTTTGAGAATATATAAGCCCCAGAAAAAATGCTATTATGTAATAATATCCTAATCTATTTATTTCTAGGTAGTAGAACTAAAGGGTCTTTTTTCATATTTATGTTTTCTATTTTTTTTTTTATTATTCAGAGCAGTATAACATGCTCAGCACATCAGCAGGTTCTGGAGCCCAACTGTCTCAGTTTGTTACACCTTTATATCTATGGAATTATGAGCAAGTAATAACACATTTCTCTGTAATCTTGGTTGGTACAAAGCTGTATTACCTGAGTGGCATGGGCATTATTTCTTGTGGAGCAATTATGAGGCAAACCGAATAAGTTAATACTAGGATATAATATACTCAATCAATGTTGGTAATTCTTTTGCTGACAACTTGCATTCAAATAACTTTGAACTAATTCAAGCTATAGATATTTTAAATATTAAGAAATTGATAAAGAGGAAGGGATTAAGATGAAGAACTCCCATGTGAATAAGAAAGTGAAGATGAATCTAAATTAATTTATTCAGTTAGCCTAAGTAGCAATAAAATGTAGTATTCCCACAACTCATAACTTTTGAAAAGATGATAAATTTTACTCAAAGCAGTTTTTTAAAGAAAAGATTATACAGCCATATGGTTTGAAAAGGGATGTTGTCACACTGGAAGCACACATTATTCAAAGCACATATCATTCATGCATGCCATGTTTGGCTGTTTATTGATTGTGAACACAGCAATGAATGTTCACATTATGCAGTTCATTCTTGCTTATATTCTTTCATGCCCAGAAATTAAAGTTCTTTATTGCCTAAGGTAGACATTATGTCAAAGGCTTGCAACCTTGCTGAAGATGAATGCTCTCATAACGCTGTCCAAAGGGTAAGCTTGTAATTTTCGGAAAATAAACGTCAAGGTGAGACACTGACTTAGGAATGATGCTTACCCATAAGGACCATATCCCTGTTGTACTATAATTCATGGGTGGATTTATCATTTGCCTCACTCACTTAAATAGATTCAGTCTTGTCCAAACAATATACTGCTGTGCCTGGGTTAATTAAATTGGAAAACCTCTTTGCTCTGAGTTTCATTACATAGCATTAATAGGTGATGCAAAGAGGTACATTTCAGAGTGTATAAATCTTTCAAAAGAGATATGTTTACTATTGAGATTGAATGAGAAGACTTTCATTCCTTAAACTCATGATGTAAAGGGGGAAATGATTAGCTCCTTACTGGGTGACACAAGGATATCATATGGTGTAACAAGAAATGAATGCAGAACACAGCAAATTAACTGATATTGTA